TCAAATAATGGTAAAGAAATATATATATTTATTTATCAGTGCAAGGAAGGAAGGTAACTAACTATTAAGGAGATGGAAAAACAGAGTAAAATTTCCAAAATAACAAGAAAATAGGGGAAATGGAATGAATACCAACTTGCTCAAAACAACAAAACACAATGACTAAAGGACATACAATAAGATATAAGAAATGAAATCAAATGTGCCATTCATTCCGCTTGTGGAATCACAATTAATTCAAATAAAGACATTAAAAGAGAGGAAAACGAACAAAGAACAGACAGGACAAAATGAAAACAGTAGAAAGATGGTAGATTTAAACCGTATCAACAAGCATATTAAATGTAAATGATCTAAATATCCCAATTAAAAGGCAAGTAATATCATGTGGTATTAGAAAACATAAGACCTAATTCTGATTGCAAGAAACATTTAAAAAATATAAAGACACAAATAGGTTAAAAATGAAACAATGGAAGAAGACATTTTTAAAGGAATTAAAAACTTTATAGCTGTGGAAACTGTGGCTCATGAAATTAAAATATCTGCCTAAGGTCTGTTTAGGAGATTCTCTCCTGGGTCTGCTAAGGGAAAGGAGTCTGCCATGTGCTCTCCCAAAATGTGCTACAGGTTGTCGGGAGTAGGATTAAAAGGGTGTGCAAATGTGAGCTGAAGAAGGAGTAGAGGTGGAATGGGGAGTAAGGCTGGGTTTTGGAGAGGGGGGATGGTAAGGTAGGATAGATAGGTAGGACAAAGTAAGGCAAGATGCACCCAAGAGCCTCAGCCCCTCTCACCACAGAGTCTTGCCTCTGTAGACACAACTCTTCAACTGGGCTTATCAAAAGTGGGTCTTCAACAAATAGTGAATGAACGAATAAACATATAAATGAACCAAAAGAGACACAAATAATTTATTATTGTATTGGATGGAGTACAAAGAACCAAACCCTTCTCAGACCTTGGTGGCCCCAGTTTCTCAAAATGACCCAACATTTACCAAATCTGTAAGGTCCTTCAAGTCTCCTTCCTCAAGTCTGGCCAGTCATGGGATGGGAGAGGGCCCTGTGCCAGTTCAGGGGGTTCAAGAGCCACCACCATTCTGAGTCTGTGCTCAGCTGTCCACAGGTACACACACTTGTTCCCTGGAGTTCCCCAGTGGGGT